GTGATCCCTTCTGTCCTGTTACTTTTCTTCCGACACTCCAGCGCAATCGTTTTTTAAAACCTGCGAAGCGTCGTATTATTTCTCGAACACCTCTCGCATTTTCTACACGTAATTAAAAATACCCCAAGAAGGGCCGTAGTCCTAAAAGAGAAAACGCAAGAATGACACGGCTTATAGTCTCGAGCGCAACAATTAGAATGTTTTTCTTGTGTGATAACAATCATGCGGACACTCTTTACCGTTAAACATCGATTGAATAATACAGCGAACGATTCCGAGAGAAAAAAAGCAGTCACAGTTGAAGATACTGTTAATGTTGTAGGTTTAACTCTTTGCACACGGCAATCCTGTTTTACACGTCATTATCCTTCCCGCGATTGAAGGAAGATCCTGTAAAAAGAAATTTGAAAAATAAAATTTAGTTAATAAAAAATAAGCTACTCTTTTCTCTTCTGTGGCTTAAAAAAAAGAACAGAAATTATTTCGTGGAAGGAATTTATATGATAATTATATAATTTTGTTATTACACATATGTATAATATTATTATATGTATAAATAAATCACAAGATTAGATGAAATAATTATCCACTCTTGTGATATATTTTTATAACTTGTAATCTCTCTCTCTCTCTCTGTCTCTCTCTTTCTCTCTCTCTCTCTCTCTCTCTCTCTCTCTCTCTCTCTCTCTCTCTTTCATTCGAGTGTAAAGAGTTAAGTCAGTTTTCTGTCGAGAATAATTTCGCATACTTTAGTTAAGGAGAACTGATCAACATTAAGCAATATATTCGAGAAATTGAAATGGATATGATTATGTAATTGAAGGCATGAATGGTAAAGGGCGTCAATTAACAAAAATATCTTAATCCCTTCCATGAACAAATTATTTGTGAAATGTACCCGAATTGATTTATATATTGTTTACAAATATATGTTGTACAGACTATCCCAAGTTCACTGTTTTTTTCTTTTAACGATATTCAACGATATATTTTTTTAAAAATTTCGGTTTAGTTTTTCCTCGAAAATTGAGTAGAAACATTATCTGCCTTTTTAATCTTTTTATCTTTTTATCTTATACCTTGTACATTTTTACATATCAAGAAGAAAAGTTTGTAAACTTTTCAAACTGTGTCACTAATAACAGAAAAATCAATTTAAAAAAAACTGATCTTTTTATATTTATATATTTTTCGTAAAATCGAAGAAAAAGAAATGTGCAGTGAATTTGGTACAGCTTGTACATAACGTTATTAATAATTATCTCAGTATAGAGAGAGTAACTTGGAAGGGAAACATTCCCGCAACACGTGTATATAAATTTTCTTGGTCCTATAAAAAAGAGAAGTAATATGCTTTTTATACAAATATCATTCACCGAGATTTTAGAATTCCGCTTTTATTAATTTACTAAAGACCCGGGATGATAACTAAATATTCTTATCATCCAATTTTTCAAATAACATAGTCAAACTGAATAAACTTTATCTAACATCAAAATGATCGACTTATTTCTCTGTCACAAAATAGTAAATTTACATGCGATTAGATATTTATTGTTAAAATTTTATTGATAAAATTTTGACAGTTTCCATTATTTTTATTATATTTCTATTTTATAGAGACACATATGCTTAGAAGGAAGAATTATTTTTCCAGTTAATTTTTAATTAATACAGTATTTCATATATGTTTCTTAATATTCGTAAATAGAAATTGAATTTCTTTTGCAAGGATAACGCTGAACAATTTATTTAAAATGTAATTCCTTGTAATTATTCTTATAATAAATTTTTAATTTCTACTTTCATCGCTCACTACATAATTAATATATAATTACGTAAACATATAATAAATTATATAATAAATATAATAATTAATTATATAATAAATGATTATTATAATTTTAAAATAATTCATTACCGTTATTTATTATTTAGTAAATTATTGTTATAACTAATTCTCTCAATCTCTGAAATTAAGTCACTACTTAGTGAATAATCGTATCAAATATATGAAAAAGGTAATTCCCATGCTTTTAAACTTTATATTTTATCAGGAAAGGAAGAAGTATTATGTGATTGTGAATCGAAATGTCCTCTGTTAAATCTTTATTATTACATCTCTTCGAAAGATCGACAGATTAAAAAAAAAAATTAACGCAAATTCAGTTTCCAATATCGAATTTTTGATTTTCTAAAATCAGCAATCTGTTAAAAGTGTTGGGATTTATGTATGCTATTTTTTCCATTCTTTTATTATATCACTTCGCATTCTTTATAATAATTATAATTGAATTTGAAGTACAATCTTTTTCATTTCTTTTTCTGGTATATAAAGTAATATGCAATAAAATTTAACATGACATTTTAGTTTTTATTTAACAGTTATTTAAAATCATTCAGAATGACTTGAACATAAAATTTTAAAATTAAGAAAAGCACAAAATGGATTTAATTATTTTCAAATCGATGTCTGATTTCGAATTTCACGAAACCGTAACACCCACAGAATGAATTCTTGTCAATTAAAAAAATTTGTTTATCAGTTTTTTTTTTACAAGAACTGCACTAGATATATATATTTCTATTCTAACTGTATCTCGACGAAATTTTATTCGATATACATAGACATATAATTAACGTCGAGAAATTGTACTTCTCGAGTGGTGGCCGTTGTGTGTCTCCATATTAAAATCAACGGCAGGTTTTCGCGAAAGGTAAACTTTGTAAAAAAAAAACATAATTTAGATTGAATTAGGCTCTTCTCGATGATACTTTCAAGCTTGAAGTAGAACTGTTTCGTAGGATTTTCAACAAATTTGGTAAGATAGAATAAAATCCGAAAGAATTTCGTACGTAAATTTGGATTGAATTATTTGAATCTCCGCATCCCGTTTCCAATTTTCATCCTCTGATAAGAAAGATAAAGATAAAGAATTATTTACATGAAAAATGTCTATGTTCATGATTCACAATAAAGAACGATGAAATAAATGAAGAATACGAAAGTTTATAATAAAAAAAATAATGGATAGAATTTTATTTAAAGGTAAATAATTTATTTTCACCGAATTTTTTATTCAATTGTTATATATAATAGAAAGGTGTTTATACACGTTATTAGCGTTCAACAAAACTTATATATATTTTCATTTAATTTATACCATTTAGAGGACTATATATATATAACAATTAGATATACATGCTGCCCTTGTATACACGTACTTTCGGAGAATTACTTACTTTTGAACTAATTTCGAGCATTTCGAAGTATTTAAATAAATAAGAAAGTTTTTATCCGTCTTTATTAAATTATTTAATAATTTATTAATTAATTACTAATAAATTAAAACAGTAAAGATAATTTTGTATTTAAATAAAATTTTGATTTTTAATTTTTTTATTACATTTATTTACTAAATATAATAAGTATTAATATCATAATTATCAGTAATTTATCAAATTTTTAAAAATAATTTTATGAAATAAACTATTAAATATAAATTAAATCTTAAATATTATATTATATCTTACACTGAAAAAATAAAAAAATATTTTGTCTTATATTCTATTATAAAAAAAAAAAATAGAATAATATCTTTTAAATGCTATAATATGAAATGTTTTCCATTTCCTAAATTTATGTTCTAAGAATCTTTAATTAGTTCAAAAATAAGAGATTAAGATGTCTTTCTTCTCAATTTTGTAAAATGAAAAATGAGAATTATTAGAGATTAAAGTCGTTTCCAAATATAATTGCGGAAAAATTTTCTTTGTCACTTATATTAATTATTGCAAATCGATTTTCAATTTTATTTATGCTTTATGTACACCATCAAAAATAACATATGTAAAATAACATGAACAACAAAATCTATACATACATGTATACAATTTTATTATAAATCGTATAAATTTTACACTTGTTCATGTAATTTTTCAATTAATGTTTTTTTTACAGTGCACATTGATTATAATATAAAGCTATTAGAATTAATTAATACTATCATATAATGTAAAGAAAATGTGTGTAATGCTCATATAAATGTAGCTTCTTATTTTGTTTAGTTTTCGATTCAGTTTGTCTGCGCGAAAAATTAAATCGTTATAGAGCAAAACTAGATAAATATGTCAGAAATATGTTAAGTAGAATGAAAAATAACGTTTTAAAGTATAAGAAACAGTTTAGAACTTTTTGTCGATTTTTATCCTCCATATATATATTGTAATTAAAAAAAAAAATTTTTTTTAAGGCAGTATTGCCAATTTAGTATTGAAATAGATCCAATAAGTATTATTTTTTATAAGGTATTTTTTTTCGAATAGATAATAAAGAAAAGAAAGTTTATTTTTAGTGAGGTCAAATTGTTCGTAAACGCATTTACACATTTATATTGTTATGCATTTAAATAAACTTTCCTATATAAAAGACAAAAAGACATATTTCTCCAAATTAAAAAAGACATATTTTTCCAAATTATTATAACATAGTCAGAATTTATCTAAAAAAGAAAATTAGTACAGAATGTTCAAGTGAAAGATCTACAAAATAAACTGTTGAAACACAGCTTTGACACACTGACACATTTTTTTTATCGAAATAGATTATTCACGCATTTCTTTTTTTTTATAAACGCATGTACTTAGATGCTCGCATTCGTAATTAACATTCATACATGTGAAAATATTCAAAAATTATTTATACTATAATACAATATTAGTATAATAGTATCAAATATTTAACAATTTAGGGAGCGCAAATTTGAATTACAAATGAAATAAATTATTTAAATTTAGTAATATATAGATAATTTAGTATTAAAATAACATTTGCTAACATTAATGCTATCAAATCAATATATATATATATATATTATAGATATTGATTTGACGTATCCCCCTTTCCTTTTGACTTTTTAAAAATATGTTCTTACAGTTCTTAAATAAAATAATACATATTTATAAGATAGTGTAAGATATTTTAAAAGTATCATGGGATATCTTATTTCTTTAATTTCTATCTTGATTCCAATGACAATTTCGATGAAATCGATCATGAGAAATATAATCACGATCAGTAAAAAGAATTCGTTTCTTATTGAATAATATCGAGTAATTATCGTACAGAACATTCCTGTTATTAATCAGTTTGCCTGTCTCGTATTATAAACAATAGATAAAGCGAATTTGGATCGTAACTCTGTTAAATTTATCCTAATTAAATAAATACCTATAAGCGATTATTACAAATTACTAATTGTTGAATCTAAATGTTAATACAAAAGTAAATTTACTTTACTTTCAGAAGTGAAAAGTAGATAATTAGAGCGCTTCTTCGAGACTTCTCAACTCAGAGATGAAGATTCAAATGGAATTAAAGTAATTACATGACTTAATCAGGCATAGCGTTCAGAACATACAGACGGAATATTAAACACTTTCAGCAGATTTACACTTCTATGAATTTCGTATAGTAATTGAATCTAAATAATATATGATGCGGTCGAGTTGCCGCTACAAATGCTTGAAGTATTTGATTGATCAATCAGAAAAAAGAATTTTACTAATTGATCAATCAAAAAATGCTTCCAAACATTCGTAGCGTAGTTACATGCGTAACTCAACCGCACTCTATGTCAGTCAATTAATCAATTTTAATTCATACAGTTATAATTACTAAATCAGTGATCTAGATTTATAGTTTCAAAATTTGTCTAATAGACTAATGATTATCAATCCAGTGACCTTGATCTCAGTGATCTCTATTTTATCTTATATAGCGTTTTCTCTTGGGAGTTACACTGGATGTAGTTTCGCATCAGTTGCGTGCAAGCGCTATACTCAGCTACATTAGAGTGATGCACACCATGATGTACACTATATCATTATTGCGCTAAAACCCTGTTCCCACTTGACTTCCATTTTCAAATTTTAAATGTCATACTGGCTCTACATTGTCCCTTTGAGACGATGTAGCAAAATCTCACTTCGTGCATAAAATTTGCACACACCGTAATTGGAAACACGGTACACCGAACGAGTTTGCTTACTACCAGCCATGGAAACAGTACACTGTCTGAGTGTTGCATTAGTGGGCGATAGTGCAGCCAAGAGAAAACGCTATTATAAAAGACATTTTAAACAGTAAATTGTTGTTACTGAGAGGACAGTAGTTCTTCTTAAAAATAATTTAAGAAGGCATTGATTTGAGTGATCAATTGTATGTAGATGTTAACGATAACCTCGCGCAAGCTTATTTAAAAAACGAGATCAGAGAGAGTAATTTAATAAATCATTTTTTACGTTGTAAATAAAATTGAAAGCTTGCAGCCCGTACTATATACCATTTAAAAATACAATCCAGTTTTTTTCTCTTTCCTCCTTATTTATCTCTTTTTCTTTTATTCGTTCACTCATTCATCATTCACTTTACTTATCGATTCTTATAGTTTATAAATTAGACCATAAGGCATGAAAACGTGGAAGTAATAGAATTAAAGTAATAAATAGATTATCCAGTCTCCTGAATTTTCGACTGCGATTCTTAAATCTATGACTTTTAAATTCTATGGCTTATGTTCTTTTTCTTTCATGGGCTATGATCTTAATAAGAACTTAGCAAAATTCGTGATTCATTATTCGTGACGCACTTAGGGATAATCACATATTGCATATGGTCATTCCACAAAAAATTAGAGTAATAAATAAAAGATATAAAAAAGAAAAGAGAAATGCTCACGTAACATATTACAAAACATAACTCTACACCGCGGCTTATTTTTCAAGTCAGCACCTTCTTCTTCATGTGGATAGGTACAGCCGATGGTAGTCGTTGGCACCGAAGGCGCAATTACATTTCGGACATTTTCGTTGTCGCGTCTCATAACGTGTGCGTAGACAATCCCAGCAAAATACGTGGAAGCACTTAGTAAGCACGGCATCCTTCCGCTTCACCTTACAAGACGGACACGTTAGAGTTTCCTTATATTCCCGCAGCTCTTCCGCCATTACTTCATCCAGGGTTTCAGCGAGCTCAATCTTCTTCATTCGTTCGACCTTGCGCCTCAGTTGCGCTATTTCTTCCTACAACGCAATACAGATTAAATTTTATTTATATCAATGATTGAGTTCTAACAATGATGGAACAAATACACTATCAAATCTTGTCATCTACTTTCTAATACTAAAAAGTTTTTAGCATTCAAAATTTGCATAATGATTTACATAAATTATTAATTAATATAAACAAGAAAATAATTTTTTCAAATCTTTTATAATTAATTCTACTCAATTAATTAAAAAATTAAAAATAAACATAAAAAATTCAGAATACAAAACAATATTTTAGCTACTGCAGGATTAATCATTACCTGTAATCTTTTAGTTTTATATGCTTCAGCTTCTAAGGAACTTGTTTTCTCGGCTACGACCTGTTGTGCTTCCTTCATTTGGGAATGATATTTTTCTGTAATAATAAATTATATTAGTTTTTTGTTTAGAAGTAATTATTTAATTTTTTATTAGATCATTTATCTTCATTTTCCTAGCTAATATAACAATAGCTGATATATGTTGTAAGCACTTTAATATATTATTTATGTGTATATTATCATGATTAAAAATTTATGTGAGAAATTTTATTAGAAGTTTATTTTATTCAAAATCTTAATTTAGTGTTTTTGCGTTTGCATGAAGAATCTTACCAAGATGGAGTTTGAGATCAGCTGCAGATTGTGCACTCTCTATCGCTTTCCGTTTATGCATCTCCATCGCTTGCTGTCTTAGCGCCAATTCTTTTTCCACCGTGGCGAGAGAATTTTGTAAAAGACGTTCTTTCTCTTCCAGCTTTCGTACAACTACGTTGGCCGCTTCCACTTGCGTCGTTAATGTAGACACTTGTTCTTTTAACACATCCTTCTCTTCCCTCGCAAGTTTGTGCAATTGATTACTTTTGATTCTCTCTGTCATGAGCTTAAAATTTGCGTCATCTTTTTCACGTAACTGCTGTATGAGTCTAGAGTTCTGTTCCTGCATATCCTCGAACGCTTGTCCGGTCACTTCCATCTCATTCAGAAGTGCTTCCTCTTCCTGCAACCAAATACAATTCTGTTCAACGTTACATTTCCGTTCACGTATGTTATCAGATTCTGTCATATATTTTCTAATATTAAAAATTTTTTAATATTATACATAAAAAATTTCCATAGTAATGATTTGTATAAATAATTGCTTAATATAAATGACAAAATAATTCTCCAACTAGATTTTTTATAATCAATTCTAGTCCCAATTAATTAAGACTTTAATCTTTTTATATATAGCATAGATTAAAAATAAAAATAAAAATTAACCATAAAAAAAGTAAGTGTGATTTACCTGTTTTTGACAAGCAACCTGACGTTGCAATGTGTATGCTTGTTCTTCTAATTTCTTAATTTTTATCTGTGCATCTTCATCAGCTAACTTCTTACGTTCTTCACGTTTACTTTCCTATAAGAACATAATAAAAAAAAAATTCACGTTATTATCCAAATAAATATAATCTTCACTAAGTTAATATAAATCAAAAATAAAAGTATTTATATAATATTATTAATATTAAAGTGCAAAATATTTCAATCCTTATACAAACTAATTATTTTCCTCTAAATATAAACAAAGAAGTTATAAATAGGTGATCAAATATATATACGTGGGTTGCTTATTTAATTGATTTATCATGTACATTACTATAAATCATCATACAGTAATTATAAAATATATTACAACACACTTGAATCTTTTTGATTTGCTGTCGTAAATCCTCCAATTCTGCTCTCGTTTTACGCTCCGCAGCCATTAACTGTACTTTATCTCGCTGCTCTTTTCCAACACCTTTGTACATGTCTAATAAAAGCTTCATTTCTTTCATCTCATTCACAGCTTTTCTATAATCAAATTTTTATTTTTATTTATTTTCTAAAAATATATCGTCACAATAAAAATATCAGTAGTTTAGTTGATAGCACAAACATACTTAAGTTGTGCCTTCAAATCTCTCACGGCTTCCGATTCTGCCATTTTTGCGTCTTTGGTGCGATGTGCAGGATCCCGATGTTCAGTTTTTACAGATTCTTTCTTGATATCCTTCTCACGTTTTATATCCTTCTCCTTTTTTAGAGTTGGCGAAGTTAACGTTAGAGAATCTGGTGTATTTTTGTTGCCTTCACCTTCTCCAACCTCAATTGTTTCTACCTCTTCATCAGCACCAGATTCCCTCTTTATAGTAACACCACTTTCTTCTTTTATCTGTACGTGTAAATAAAAAGTTAATAAGTAGTAAACAAAATCTCATTTTTTAAACTAATAATCTAATTCTGGGCTACATATATACAAACGAATACATCAAAAATTAATATAATTATATAGAAAAAAGTGCATCGCTATCTCTTGATTTAAGTTTATACATTTATATAATTATACCTGTGTAGATCCTGGCAATGAATTTGAAGCATCTTCTTCTTTTCCGCTACCATCTGAATTATTCCCTTCTTTATTTTCTTGCGACGTTTGTTGCCCTAATTTAGTTGTCAATTCCTCTACTTCCTTCTTTAACTAAACAAATTTGATAAAAATAAACTATTACCTACTTTTATTACAATTAAATAATATATATCGAGTAATAATTTATATTATATTTTGTTCTGTTATTAAGATAATGCGTAGAAAGCGATTGACTTGTAATATAATAGATAGGTCTCGGGTTCAATCTTGATTTTTATTCTATAGATATGTATATGACTCGATTTATAAAAAATTGATTAAAGAATTAAAAAGTCGAAAGAACTCGAAAAGTTTTAAGAAACATTGTATTATTCGTCCCAGTTAGGGACAAATATATTCAATAAAGAATACATTTTGATTGCAAAGTTTAAAAGTTTAAAAAAAAAAGAAAAAAAAGTTGTAAAAGAAGATAAGGAAAATTGTAATCCGATAATTTCGAGACAATAAATTGATACATAGATATTATATAAATCAAAGTTAAAAATCACAGAAAATTAATAAATTTTGTAATAAAATGAAAAAAAAAAAAAAAAAAAAAGAACTACTTAAAAAATCATATATATTTATATGTACTTACTCGAGGTATTTCAGTAGAAGTTTCTTTGTATTTTCGCTTGTACCGATGCACTTCTCCTTTTAATTGTTGATTGTGATTCTGAAGGGAGGTAATTAGGTGCCGCATTTCTCGATTGATCGGACCTGTCTGTTCATTGGCAGCTAGATTCTGTTCAAATTCAATGCGAAGCATCTCGTATTCCTTGCGTAATTGTGCTAAAACGTCTTCGAGTTGTATACACTCGCCGCGCAATTTTTTTTGAGCCATTAATTCTTCACTCTATAAAAAGATTTTGAATAAAAATGAAATGTCAATTTACATGCTCGTAAGTACAATCTTCGGATATATGAAGGTTTTACCTCCATCATCTCAATGTGGCGTAAATGTGCGTTTTTGCTCGATTGTAACTGTTGACGAGCATCATCCAATTGTGTTTTCAATTGCATAGACTCATTATACAATACGGAAAATTGCGATTGTAAACATTTATACTCTGTTGTTTCCACAATTACTGATTCGGGAAGTTGTCTTATCTACAAAAAATGCTAAAATTTAGCTATTTGGTAACAGTAAAGTTAATTATATTAGAATATTTATGATATAAATAAAATTTAGGAAACAAAACTGTTTACTTACATCCATTTTCAATTTTTCTACTTCTTTTAAAGTTTCGCGATGTTGCTGATGAAGTTTGTCTAATTCCTGTAATCTATTATTAGCTAATTCACGCGTCTCTTCAAGTTCTCTTTGCAAGTCATCAAGCTGTAAAAATAATATATGTATAAAAGTTATGCATTTCACGGGTTTCCTCCGTGTCCAGAACCATTTTTGAAATGCCTAGACATT